GGCTCCAAACGGGGCCCTGGGCAATTTATGACATTACATTTATGACAATAAATCATCGTGTGCTGAAACAAGCTTAGTCCTCCATGTGCTCCTTTGTGGCAGTCGGCTGGGAGCAACTCCAAAGCTTTTAAAGTGACAGAGTCCTCATGAGAGGATGCCGCTCTCTTCTCCGGATCCCAAACTGTTGGTTTAATAAGCCTCTTTCATCCTGTCTTAAGCTTCCCTCCTCCACCTCTGTAGGAAATCCTTCTTTCTTTCTTTCTTTCTCTCTCTCTCATGTTTAACTTTTCCTAGATTTGACCTTGACTTTGTGATCTGTCGTGCTGTCGTTCTTCTTAACACGTGCTTTTCCGATTCAGTGATGCAGCAGCTCGACACAATACGCAACAGAGTCGATTATTGGAAGCAGCTAAACAAGTGTTAATCAAGTTTCCCGCTCTAGTAACTTGTTTATGGTATTTATAGATTCATGGCATCGAAGCAAATAAAGGTAAACATTACAGTTTGTATTGTGTTGTAAACCTGCACTTCTCTTTACTGTAGTGCATTCGCTTTTTCTCCGTTTCTAAATGCAGTAAGTGATATAACTGAGTTGAACTGTAGCCGAGTAAGTTACTGATTTCAGCTTTAAAGTATGTGTCTTTATCTGCCTGTCATATCCAGTAAGTGTTTCCTTATCGAAGCCTTAACACAAGAACTGCAGAGCGGTGCCGGACTGAAGTGAAATGTAAGCACATGTAGCTTCCTTGGAAAGGGGCCAAACGGTAATTTCTTCAGCAGTTTGGTCCAGAATTCAAATGTGTTTATGTGCTGCCATTAGAGGAAAAGCGGCCTCGCTGTTTGCTTTTTTTTAATGTTGTTGTAAACTCCCGGTTTTCGGGATGGAGACTCTGTGTGAGGCTGCTGTGGTTTAAGGACCTCGTCCTTGGCCGGGGGGGGGGGGGTGTTTATGGAAGAATGAAATATTCAGTATCCAGCGCGGCTCTGCGACCTGCTGCGGCGCTACGAGAGAATTCACAAAACACTCCAGCTGTAAACCTCACCTCTTCTCGGTCACTTGTTCCTCTTTTTTTCTTCCTCTGTCATTCTTTTCCTGTGTGTTCTTTCTTTTTTTTCTATGCTCTCTTTGTTTTCTCCACCTTTTCTCTTCTTCTCTCTGTCCTTCTGTGACCCCCCCCCCCCCCTCCTCTGAGGTGCTTTGGATGATTTATTGTCCATATTTAGTAAAGCCCGTCAAAGACCAGCACATGTGTTTGATAAACCAGCGAGTTTTTCTTTTTTCAGCGATACAGAATTTCATCAAGCTCTTGCAATGTCAATAATGTTTTTCTGTTTTTCCCCTTTTTGCAGCCGTTCCAGGTGAAAATCTTACAGACGCACTCACATTTTCACACACACACGAGAGAGAGACAAAAAAAAAAATCAGACTCACAGTACTCCCATCACAGCGACGAAAAAAACGTTCCCGCAAAAGACACGTTAATTATAATGACAATTACGTTTTCGGTCGTCTCGTCACATCGCTAACATCTCTCTCCCGTTCCGCTGACACTGAGAGTCCGGCTTTTGTCCTCCACTGCCAGGCGCTAATTTTCTTATCTGTGGCCTGTGAACTACCTCAGGTACTCGTCATCCATCTTGACACTTTAATGGCTTCAAAAGCATACGCATCATTCCTCTATGATAACTGGAAAAAAAAAACTCCTGTAGCACTAATGTTTTTCTTGAAATTACATTTGCTGTGTTAAAGTTTACATTATCCTAAGGTGCCGTTAAGTTCCTGGACCTCAAAAATTCATTAGATTTCTGCTTCTTTTTCTACCTAATTGTGTTGTGGTGGAGCTTACTGGTCACCAGAGGCTTTCCCCTTCACCTAAAGGTCACGACTTCCAACCGCAGCCAATTACCGTCCATCAGCAAACGTGTGCCTTTTTTTTTTAAAAGGTAGTCGACCTCTATCTGGTCACAGTGAATAACTGAGCTGAAATGTCAAAATGAAATGCAAATGGAAAAGCTGAGTAGATTCTTTGACAATAGATGACTGGCAGCGCCCTGATATTTATGCATTTTCACATTGGTTTTTTTTTGTTGTTTTTTTTCATATATTATTATTCTTCCTTGAAAAGTGCGTCCGTAATGCGAGTCGTGTTTAAACTGAAATGTCACGGGGGGGTTTTTGGTCTCGCCACTGTCAAAGTATGTCAAGTATGTTTCTTATTTTGTTCTCCCGCAAACCGCTCACTGATTAATGTCAATCCAAAGAGGGAAATTAACATCTGAATGAAAGAGGAATACAAAGCAAAACCTTAATAGTTGCATTACTGCACTAAAAATCTCTTATTTAGTATTCAACCTCTGTAGTATTGAACCTGGTGTATCTTCTACACAACAAGGATGGATCTGCTGCTTTTGTTGATAGTTTTGGAGCAAATGGATCAACATTAGAGAAGAGGATCATGGTGCTGGGGAGGTGGGGGGGGGGTGTTATTCAGACGCTGTGTTCAGTTTTTGCCATTACTGATTCTCCAGTGGAATCCATTGTTATTGCTGTGAATCGAAGCTCAATCCAGCTGCCGTCCTCCACGACGAAGCAGCTCCAAACTTTTCAGCCCCCGTCCATTCAAGCTCACGGGGAACGACGAATGTTTAATATTCAAAAAAAGACTTTTCCTTTTAAGACCTTTGCATCCAACTGATCCAATTGATTGCGATGTTCTCAGATGGTTTATAAGAGCCACCGAAAAAATGTGTCCCATTTACTTACGTCTGGATCTTAAGCTGCCGAGCTTGTTGTGTAGTTATCTGTCGACCCCTTATGAATGAATTCTCAAATCCGCTTTCGTCTGTCGCGCTCGAATTTGACAAGATCATTATTGTAGGTGATTTTCACATGGATGATCCCTCTAATGTACCGCAACATGTTTCCGGGCCTTCATGCTCGGCCTGACTCTGAATTCCTTCCACACGACTGGTTTGATTTCTGACCGCAAACGTATAATTTTTTGACGCGGTCGCAGAGTCAAATTTTACTTCTCGGAAACAAATCATACAGTCTTGCATCTTTAATGGAGACTCTGCGGCCGGGGGTTTTCAACTCTCTTCTCTGATTTGTTCAAGACAGCTCCTTAGTTTTCCAATATTAATGACTCCACTAACTGTGCACCTCTGGCTCCAATTAAGTCCAGACTGGCCCCAGTTGTCAACCCGTCGCCCTCAGATAAATGATTCCATCCGACGCCATAGAGGAGAATATAGAAAGGCTGAGCGGCGACGGATAAATGATCATGTTCGCTACCTTCACACGGAGGAGCTGTTAATCAACTCATCAAAGATGCAAGAGCGGGAAATATTTGTCTCGTCTAATCAACAATAACAAGCATAATCCCTCGTTTCTTTTTTTTTTTGTTAGTCATTCTTGATTTTCCCGCCACCTCCTCCGATCAAGTTCCTAAAGTTCTTTGTTGACAAGATCAATAATCTTAGGTCACATTTCAACCTTCAAAGTTTATCACTTTAATCGCGTTATCAGTCGCTCCATGCACAAACTCTTTAGATATAGATAGATAGATATTATCCCTACTAAAATTCTTCAACACGTTCCTCAAGTCATACCCCCCCCCCCCCCCCCCCCCTCATCTTCTCTCTATTATCAATCAATCTCTCTCCTCTGGCTCCATATCAGACTATTTCCAGACAGCCTATTTAAAAAAAAAAAAGAAGAAAAAACCCTTCCTAGATACCAGAGATAAAGCTGCCAACCTCAGGCCATTTCTAAACTCCCCTTCTCTTCTAAAGTTCTCCACAAAACGCCACTTTAATTGACAGACTGGTGAAATCAGGTTGGTGTCTCTTGATCCTCGTCTGACAGATCCTCCAGTGTTCATGTCTCTTTGTGGAGTCCCCCAAAGGTCGATCCTTGGACCTGTTCTGTTTTCATTTTATATGCTAAACTCCGTCAGTGGCATCTCTTACCATTGCTAAACGAACGACACGTAGCTTTATTTCTCAGTTAAACCTTAACGACCTCAACCTCTTAACTTCTGTCTCAAAGTTTTTCCTCCATTTCAGTTCTGATACGACCTGATCGTTTTTCTGAGGAGGTCGGACTCTCTGTGTTCTCTCTGACTGATATTTGAACTTTGAACCGCACATCACCGAGCTCGTTCAGTCTTACCTATAGTATCAGACAAAAACTTCTGAAATGCTACAGCTGGCTGTTCTTGTCTCCATTTTAAATCCAGAGGTGACCCTGTTTGAGGTTGTAACTCCTCAACTCCGTAAACTACCTTCACATTTCCATCAGATCTGCTGAATCTCTTTTAAAATGCTGCTGAAAACTCATTTGTGCAGGTTTGCCTTTTTATAAATACTCTGCCTTTTGTTTATTTTGGTCGTGTGCTTTAATTGATTTAATGTGTGTGGGTTTATGGATGGATGGATGGATGGATGGATGGATGGATGGATGGATGGATGTGGGCAGGTGTACTTGTTATAACAGTGTGTTTTAAAAAAGTGTTATATAATAATAAAGATAGATTAGATTTTACAACACTTCAGGAGGTTAGCATGGCACATCTCAGATAACCCAGCACCTATAAGCTGTTCTCTCATACTATAGTTCAAAGTGTGTGTGTGTGTGTGTGTGTGTGTGTGTGTGTGTGTGTGTGTGTGTGTGTGTGTGTGTGTGTGTGTGTGTGTGTGTGTGTGTGTGTGGGCGGGCCCCTGGGAAAAACAGAGCAGCTACAGCTAGACAGGACTGTCATGGGAAATCACCTCTCAAAGAGCTGGGGGAAGACAATACCTGCAGCAAGGGCCCACCTGACACACACACACAACCTGCACACACACACACAACCTGCACACACACACACACACACACACACATTACAAAAATGTGTCTTTGTAAAATCTCCGTCCGTGTTGAATGCTAATGCTGCTATTCTTTCTCCTTCATTCCTCTTTCTCTCTCTGTCTCTGTCTTCTTTCCTATGTCGTTCCAGATGTGACTCAGAGAACCGTTACCTTGGTAACCCTCTCAGAGGAACATGTTATTGTAAGTACCCTTCCTGCCGCCGCTACAGCTGAGTCTCCCTCACCTCTCTGGCACCACACACACACACACACACACACATACACACACACCTTTATACTATATGGGACTGTTGAACAAACACATGTAAGAGGTTCCTGTAACAGAAATGTAGTTTCCACTCTTATAGAGAACAGAGGCTCGTGGGTGATTTGAGTAATCGTGGATTACATTGGATTCTAATTGTAACAAACAATCATGCAAACAAGCGAAAAAAACCTCCTTTTCAAACTTTTCAAAACATGGCTGCAGCATAATCCACTTCTCTGCTGTTGCATTGTACACTACAGTTAGTGTGATGCAAACATTTACACCAGAGGGCCCCACACACGGGGCCACATGCTGCCTCAGCCTCAGCCTCACTCCGCCTTCAAAATAAAGGTAGCAGGACACTTTAGCGTAGTGGTTTCCAATCTGTGGAGATCCCACGACCAGTCGGCAGCACCGGGAGCTGCTGGCTTCACGCTGCAGTGAGTTCAGATAGCTGTGAAGAAAAGCTTTATTGTGTCACGGCACATTTAAATACATCAAGGGCTCATCCAGCCTAACGTCAGAGGCTGTCGAAAAACAACCCATGTGACCGTTTTGTGAAATGACTATTAACATTTTCCTGATCTGAGTTAAGTTTTGGTTAAATTTAGGCGGATAAACTAATTCTTTAAGAGTAGGGAACGATTGTGTTCCCCCAGTCTAAAGGTCTGTGTCCATGTGTTGTGATTATAGATCAGGTCTAGGTTCTGTATTAATACTGTGGAAATATCAAAGCGCTAAAACCAGCAAATAAAACACAGGAAACACTGGGACCTTTTAAAGAAAGAAACATCCAAGGTGCACAAGTGACTGGATGCTAATCTTACTCCTAAGAGGTCTTGCTGCATTAACAACAATGTCGTGCCACCTCCGCCCTCCTGCTCCTTCTCTGAGCGGCGGCGCGGAGCATGACCACATGTCGTTATTGTGTTTAGGACAGGATAATCATTACCATTCAGGTCTAAGATGGTAAGACAGATGTTTCTGACACACATGCACGTGGGTGAAACCCGTGTCAACATGTCAAGAGATGAGATGTTAAAAAAAAAAATATATAGAATACCAACCTCGCGGCTGGTTACAAAGATTTTCCTCCTTTTTGAAAGAGAAGATGGATAAAGAGAGAGAAAGTGTCCAGGACTGTGATTTCCTGTTTCCAGATGCTGGCAGGGATCACACCGACTTAGCTCATTTGCAACAAATTGCTGGTTTTCCTTTTAAAGGGCAGACGGAAAGGGGGAGAGCTGTAGTCAAAACAGATGTTTTGTGGCGCACAAGCACATGTTCACTCACTGCGTTCTCACACACACACACACACACACGTACACAAACACACACGCCCATTCAGACTATGATCTGCCATCGTCGGTTTTAATATCATGACACACTAGAATAAGGTTCAAGTCCTGTCAATGTCAATAGCCCTCCAGCTTGAGTCGGGCTATCATTGTGTCAATGAGGGGGGCTGGAGAGGATGCAGCAATCAGAGGAGTCACGCCACAGATTGCACCGGTCACCTCAAATATGTCTTTGATCACAGGAATAACTCCCGTTCAAGAAGGTGACCGGGGGTCGGTTTCACCTTTATCTTATCGTGCCTTATTGTAAACCCTCTGAGACACAGAATCAGAAGTTTAACTCAGTGAGAGAGGAGCAGCAGTCAGTAAAACAGTCCGTAAGCACAAGTTACTTCCTGTTCACGGACGGTGTGGTTCACCCTGTGTGCTGGCTTCAGGACTGAGGTTGTGGAGGCACTAGATGGCACCAACGCAATGCCCTCGCCCAGCGTTGTGAAGCGGCCTCAGACAACGCACATGCATACAGTCAGATATAGAGACACGCTGTTAATGACTCTTAAAAGTCTGTGCGTTCTCGGCTCCGCCATGTAACTATGGCTACAGCTGAGGCAGTGTGTGTGTGAGTGTGTGTGTGAGTGTGAGTGTGTGTTTTTTTTTTCCCCCAGACATATTTGACTACATTATGTTCCGTCATTAATGTGACGTTATCTTTTCTGCTGTCTGTAAAACGGGGTTAGCTTTGTTTGAACAAGAGCGAGCACACTCAGACGTATAACACATGAATGCACACAACATCCCTCCCTCACACACACACACACACACACACAAGTGACAAGTACTCTGCAGTTGCTCTAAACCCATGCGTGTATAAATTACTGATTTAAAAGCCATCCATTTCCTCTGTGCTCTGAGGAAAGCAGCCGCAATCACAGTTGAGGTCAATATTAGCCTTAAATGTCATCGGGAGAGGGGGAGGGGAAGGTTTATCTCCATCACATAAAATGACGTGCGGGATATATGAGAGGCGGCAGTGTCCTTGCTGGAAAATCTGCACCACCTGCGGATTCGTTTTGATGTGAAGAGACGGTGGAAAGTTATCAGGCAGCTGACAGCAGAGAGATCAACAGGACTGTTGTCAGTATGAGCTCCCGTGGATAGTCCACGATCGTGCAGTTGTTTCACAAAGTGCAAGACAGAAACAGAACCACACGGCCGCCTCATCACCCGTCCTTCCGGAGGACGGAGATGATGTTGATCAGTTACATGCCGATCACTCAGGCTCGTTGGTGGACCGTCGTACTCAGGGAGAAGGTGCGTGTTCAGCCGCCCGGGGTTTAATCGAGAGGTTGCTTCCTGTAAAGGAGGAAGACTGTCTGCGTTACGAGCCGCCCTTGTGTCTGCGGTCACCCTGCAGGGTTTTCTGTTTCTTCTCTAATTTTCTGCTCATACAGTGTGAAGTTACGGGATAGTTTTATGGTTGAACTGCAACATGTTTCAAGGGGATTGAAGCGTTGCTTTGCTTTGAAGGGCCACAGACCAGTGAATCCAACAACTGCTTTAGATGCAGGAGGTTTCCAGGGGTGAGCCCACACACACACACACACACACACACACACACACACACACACACACACACACACACACACACATACACGTAGTCCTGTTATGGGTACACTCTCATAGTGCTACTCGTCTCTGTGTCCAGGGACGGCAGCTTGTGATGACGACTGCTCTGTGGAAGTCGGGGGGGGAGGAGGGGAGGGTTTAGCCTCAGCTTCTAGGAGGTGGCCCCTGAAGTTTGAATATATATATTTCACTGCTGCCTCTCCAGACTGCAGCAGGACGGATTTATTCCATCCATGTAGCAGCGTCTGACTGCCTGTCTGCTTCAGAGAGCAGCAACCCTGACACCGAACACTCACAGGGCACCGAACGTCCAGGAGCAGAGGTTAAGCACTTGCCACAAACTCCTCAAAGGTGAACAGAAAGCCATTATCTAAACCAAACAACTGCTCAAGGTCGAACAGCTGAATATCATAAGTCCAGCCCCCCCCCCCCCCCCCCCCCCAATGGCATCTGCTCGGACTCAAACATGCTTAGTAGTCTACCCCTCTCTCTCTCTGCCTCTTTTTCCTCTTTCCCATTTGTACAGAGGTGCAGAATCATTGAACACAAACCGCAGCAGGTCGCCACGAGCTTCCGATGTTTCAGGATGTGGAGTCACGTGCTTGGTTTCCACTCTGCAGGATGAAAAGAAAATGTCGGCTTTACGGTTCAAGCTTTAACACCTGACAGCTGAACAGAAATAGAGAGCGAAGTCGCGTCAAATGCAGGAACTTGTTCTTCATTATAGTGCCAAGCGTGCGAAAGCAGCAGTCAGAAACCCGCTCTGATGAAATGTTTTCATCAGACTGATGAATGTGAGCGTGCAGCTATCGACAGCGCGGCTCCAGAGAGAGCAGAGAGTGATGCTTTGGTTGAGTTAACACTGTCATATTGAACCACCAGTCAATTGATGAAAAAAGCAACTTCGCCATTTAATGAGTTTGCCCCCAGTCAGGCCTCGCGTTTATGAGCGGGCATCACCGGGACAGCGCTTTAATACACCGCTGTCACATCCCATCACAGTCAGCTACAAGGGACGGCTAATTAGGGATGGCCACCAAGTGTCCCACCACTTCTTCTACCAGAGAGACCAGCAGTCAGTGGAATTAGCGGCTAACACCAGTCAGGCCACAGTCGGCGCTGACTGCCGCCCTCAGGCCTGCTGGGAAAGCTTAGTCAGGCCGAAGGAAAGTGGCTCCAATATTTACTGACAGCCTCACAATCCCAATTAAAGGACAATTAGTGACGGACAGCACGAAATCCAGAAAAAAAAGAAAACACTGACTAATGATGTCGCATCCAAAAGCAGAGGAGCAAGAGAATCGGAACAGGGCTGATTTCTTTACGTGCAGTTTCTACTCGGTATGAGTCGATTTCTTGTTGTAGTGAAATGTAAAATGATATGAAAGATGAGTAGTAGTTAAGCAGTAGTTAATCCAGACCTTACAGTGGTTTCATGGCAGCGATCAGCAGTCAACATCTTTCCTGGCCTAAGGCCGTTCATTAGACCACGATCTGGCTTCAGTCCAGGATGCCTCAGTATTTGCTGACAGGCAGTCTGTCTGGACGCCTATCTAACGTGGATTAATTGGCCCTAACAGGCCTAAAAGTCTTTCTTTTTTTATTTATTTTGCAATCCAATAGTTTCCCCTTGACAGACGATGAAATTTTCTGACAGATTTTAAATCAGTTTGAGTAACTTTCAGTAAGAGTTTGATGCGTGGAGCAGAAGAAATGCACAAACGGACTGTGTCCCACTTCCAAGCTTCATATTACATTCACACTGATTTAAAGGTAAAGTCCAATACAACAGTACTGTAATTAAACCTTGTATTTAATTTAAACTTAAACTTAAACTTGACTTAATATCAAAGTTTAAAAGGAAGTTAAAAAGTGTCATTTCTGAGGGATCGTTACTTCATGTCTTTGATCTGTGACTTGTTGTTGATCCAATATATTTCTGAAGATGAATATTAACAGATACGTGTGTGATGTCATGGTATAATGTTCAGGTGGTATATAATTGTTTCTTGTCTGGGACGTTGAATATCTTTATGTTTTCATTTGTCCCACGACGATCTATTTAATCGTTGGATCTGATGTAGATCTGAGTGGGATTACAAGATTCTCCCAGCGGCCTTGTACCTGATGCGCTGTGCTTCTGTAACCACCCTCCCCCGCCAGCTTTCAAGATGTATTGATCGGCAGTTTGTGGCATTAGAATTGGTAAAGACACTGGTGATTGCGGTCGTTATGACCGGCCATCGCTCAGATCATCGTCGCTGTTAAGGAATGTTGATTTTCTAATAAATGGAGGTCATTTACCTCCAGGTTACCTTGACCTCCAGTCACGTCTGACAGCGAGTCCTCGTGTTTACTCCCCCAGCTTCTAACCTGTTTTTCCTCGCCGAGGCGGTGCTGCGACGCCTTGGCGCGCTCCTTCAGGCGGGGTGTTGCAAATGGGAAATAATGAGTTGTTAACAAGCATTAAATGAAAGCTCAATGAGAGATTCTGACAAACTGACATCGTAGGCGAGTTCACGCTTGTTTCGGGTTTTTCTATTCGGAGCAGACTGCCGGAATATCAGATTATGTTCCGGATGACGGCTTTTTCTCTTCCGTCTTCTCATTCCCCATCACAGTGTATTGTTTCATATTGGCTGAATCAGCTTACATATTATGGTAATAAGATCACCCATCTGTGAACCTGAGAAATTGGTATGGACTATTTCTATTTCAGTTCTTCTGGGGATCGTTAATACCTTTAGTGATACCTTGATATGATCCATCCGGCGTGAGAATTCGCGCCCGTACGCGTGTAATTGAGACCGCCTGTGAAACTGCTGTCATATTTCTCAGGTGGGATTTGTAATTAGCTGACGTGAACTTTCAAAACCTCTGCTGATGCTCTTGTTCCCAACAGCCTTGAAATCAGACTTATTGGAAACGCACAGAGGGACGAGGGGCGGAATTAGGTTTTTGTTTGTTTTTTTGTTTGTTTTGTTTGTTTCAGAAGTTTTTTTTGTGTTGCGCTCTTTGTTTGTTTGTTTGTTTAACTGAGCACACACACACACCCACCTGTGAACACACACACACACACACACACACCCACCTGTGAACACACACACCCCCACCTGTGAACACACACACACACACACCCACTTGTGAACACACACACACACACACACACACACTCTAACATGAGTGCACATTCACAAACGTGCATATACTGGATACTTTGAGAGGTAAATACAAGCATACTGTACATGCACCCACACACACACACACAAACACACACACACACACTCACACTCACACACACGAGTCCCCATTCCCTTCACAAAGTATAAAAAAAAGCCCAAATACTGTGAAGTTGTACTGACGACCCTTATGGGATAAACAACTGAGCAGCGGCGGCGCACGTCTGCCTGGGAGGGAGGAAGAGAGAGATGTTAAGGAAAAATATTGTCTTTGATCTGATGATATCTGCTACTCGGGCTAACTCGCCATGAAGGATGAACAAAACAAGAGTGTTTGTCAAACATAATTTGCTTTCGTCTTGGTAACGCCCTGGGATTGTACAGTTGAAAGGAAGGTGATAACTAAACATCTCTCTCTCTCTCTCTCTCTCTCTCTCTCTCTCTCTCTCTCTCTGTACAGTGTGAGAGACAAAGTTTTTCTGCTCTGCGAGTTAGAAAGCTTTTGCAGCTTGTCTGTGACTGTCTTCCCGTCACAACCGCAGTCGTCTGTTGTCGACTTCTGAGCAGCTCAGAGAGTTGAATCGTTGCGGCAGCAGCGCAGCGATTGGACGCACCGGATCTCTACTGCCACAGACAATAATCCATATTAAATACTGTCTTTTGTCACTGACGCTACAGAACTGCGATAACTCAATTCTATAAACCTGCTACAGCGATATAATTTATTTGATGGAGCTGTTGCTGCTTGTTTGTCTCCTCTTGTAATTAAGACGTGATGTGTCGTCGCAGACTCGTGTTATTATTGACACAGAGAAATTAAACCAGTTAAATGAAAGGCAACAATAGCAAATTGTAAAGTCCTGCATTTAAAATCTTTCTGAAGTATTGATGTATTTTCAGCAAAATGTGTTTAAAGTATTGACTTTTTTAAAAAGTTATTCTTTCTGAGTCGGTGTTGTGATTTACATCCATTACTGCTCCGACTGTGAATGATGATTGGATTTAATGTTGGAACTGCAGCAGAAGTTGTCTTTATGTCTTTGGTAACTTGTTTTTTGAAAAGTGGTCCAATGGATAAAGTCGTCGTTAAATAATTCGTTAAATAATTAATCATGATTTCAGCTACGTGAACTTCACCGGCCGTGATTTGTGTGGAAGGTTGACAAACGTTTCCGACAGCTCCTGTCAACTGACCTCCGGGAGTCTGACTGACTGTCAGTTATGTTGGTGCAGTGTGAAACTACAGTAACTCGTCAGGCTGATGGACAAAAGTAATGAAAAATAGGACCCAGAGTGTGAAAACGTCGACTTTTTCAAAGCGTTGCCTTGCAGAGTCGGTTTCCACCTGAACTGCCTTTAACGTCTCTCACACACACATTGACTGAATAAAAAGTAAAAGGTAAAATAAAAAAGATCCTCTCACACAGCTGCTTCCTCTCTCCTCTCCGTCAGTGTTTCCCTCCCCTCCCATCAGACAAGGTGACCCAGCGCGGCTCCTGCTGTCCATCCAGATGTTCAACCACTGCGACTCCCCTCCGTACGTTCAGCCATTGTCTCGCCGACAAAGAGCCGCCTCCAGACACTCAACGGGAGCCGCTTTCAGAAATGATTAAATCTCTTAAGAGAAAACATGATTATTCAGACTCTCACTCGTGTTCTATCGATCCGGGTCGTTCGCTCGTCTAAGAAAGTGGCATCCTCGCCGAACGCGCCCGCGGCTCATATTTATAAAGCGAGCGTGTGTGCGCATACGGACACGCCTTGTTTATTTTGTCACTGATTGAGATCTTTGACCAGAACTCCACCACTGTAAGCCGTATTCATCTAATTGAATATCGACTCACGTCAGCGTCTCCCGTGTTTTTACTTTCATAAATCAGTCTGTGTTTGAAGGCGATGTCAATAAACTGACCTGGAAAGGAGGTTTTGTTTAGAAGGGGGAAAATGAGTGAGCTGAGAGTCCGACCCAAACACACCACAGATTAAAACAAACCCAACAAAAAGATGATGATTATTATTATTATTATTATTATTATTATTATTGTTGAAACACGTCAAAGAACATTGACTGGTGGAGGGTTTTCATGCCAATAAAGCAGTAACATATAATATATATATATATATAATAGACTGAATCATGTCTGTCTTCGTCTCTTTCTCCGTTGCCCAGACAACCTGTTGATTGATTACCAGTTCACCTTCAGCCTGCTTCAGGAAGACGACCGCTACTACACCGCCATCAACTTCATGGCTACACCTGAACAGGTAACGCACAACCTCAAACACACACACACACACACACACACACACACACACACACACGCACAGTAGACTTCGAGACGCTTCTAAATTCTTGACTTTTATCAGACCTACTTTCCCCTCTCATCGCCTAAAGGTGTGTTCAGATACAGCTCAGAAGTAGAGGCAGCATTGCAGGCAGAATCAATGCAGCGATGCCAAAAGAGGCCCATGGATTCAGATTTGCCGCAGGTGACACGAGAAGTGAAGATGAGTCGGTTAAAAGTTAAAATAAAATAAAAAAAAAATGCTTTAACAAAGAATTCTCTTGCGCTTTGTGAGTGTAAACAAAGTGTAAAAGATCAGCAGACCTGGAGGAGAGTAAGTTAAACCAGTGAATGCATCTTAAACCTCCGTCGTTTTACTCTCGCTGCGCTGTTCCACTTCCACCTGCTTCAGATCAGCATCAGTTTGTCCATCAGTGTCGCTTTGTTTTTGTCCCATTGACGCCACCTTGCATGTGTTTCTTTCTTCTTTTTGCGCAGGCCAACAAAAACCTCGACATGTCCATCAACGCCTCCAACAACTTCAACCTCAACATCACCTGGTCCTTAAGCTCAACAGGTAGAGATCGACTTCATATATTTATACTTGTCTTTAAGGTATTTTGTCCTGTTTGCATCATCAATGAAGAGGTTAAGTTCCCAGCAGGGACCAGTGTACAGCCACACAAGCTCTTTGTTTATTCCAGCTGGTTACACATCTCCTCACGGCTGTGTTTGTTTGACATTTGGGCTGTAACTAAAATATTCATCACAGATTAATCCGCAGATTATTTCTTTGATTAAACGATCAACTGTTTAGAGAAATGTAAAAAAAAAAAAAAAACATGTTTTCCAGGGCGCAACGTTACATCTTTAAGTGTTTTTGCTCAACTCGCAGCCCAAAACGATATGCAGTTTATCATCACATCAGTCAAAGAAAAGTAGCAGAACATCATTGCTATATTTAGACATATTACATTTAAAATTCTGTCAAAGGTAAGTTAGTAAGGAACATATAATAATGTAGCTAAAAACAGTTAAAAGCAATCTTTTATTTAAAGCTCCATATTTTCTTCTTCTTCTGTCTTTTATTTTGAAGTGTTGATCCATGAGAAGATATATTTGTGGTTCATCTCAGTGTAGTTTAACATCTCCTCTCTCAGGCTTCTCTCTGGAGCTCTAGTAACAACAGGTCGGTGAGCCAATCAGAAGAGAGGAGGCTCTGAGCCTCTCTTCTGATTGGCTGACTGTTTTCTGAGTGATCCAATAAAAATATAGCAGATTTCAGGTAAAAACACTCAGAGAAACCAAATCCTGTAAAGGTTTGGATGGTGGGTCCAGGTGGGCGGGGCTTGGTGACTGCTTTGTTGTGACATCACAAAGTTCCAGAAGTCCTGACGGCTGGTTTTAAGGCTCAGTTTCTGAATACAGGCTGTGTGCATTTCTCTGTGGACTGAGGCTTTGATACTTTCACAGTATTAATATAGAAGCTAGAGCTGATCTATAATCACACTACACATGGACACAGACCTTTACACTGGAGAGAGCTTTAAAAAAAAAATAGGACATTTCTTTGACGTTTCAGTAGTGTCTAATGAAATAGAAAGTGAGATTTAATATAAAATGTAATTTGATGTGAATTTAGATTCAGTGGTTGATTGTTTAGTCAGTCTCTAAAGCTGTGTCATTAGCTTCCTGTGTGTGAAGATATCTCACAGTCAGGATCCTTTTCGGTGGCCGAGCTGTGTCCTTAAGTAAAATGGTCAGATCCACTTCTTGTTTCGCCTCCTGGGGATTCCCCCTCCTGACAAAACACATCACAGGCTGTTTTGAATTTTGGCATTAGGGCATTTTTTTTTTTTTTTTATACATTTTCCCTCCTGATTTCAATTAAGATAAAAGCACTCTGCCTTCACACTCGCGGTGTCTTGGGGCCCAGAGCCTCCTCAGTTTGGGACTGTGGGCCTTCAGCGTGTGCGATTGTGTGCAGTCTATTACAGCGTGTTTAATGGCCCTGATAAAGCAGGAGGTGGAAATATTTTATTCACAGTGTCGGGAAAAACTCGGCCGTGAACACAGAACTCCTGATAATGCTCTGAAGGATACTGAAATCAGAGCACTTCAGCGCCGAGGGAAGAATTACTGCAAGGTGTCATGAAAACACTTTTGCCTCTGAATGTTAATTTGCCTCCTTGAGATTGACATTTTTTTTTTTTTTTTTAAATCTAGACTTTTTCCTCTCGAAACTGCTCACTTCATACCTCCTGTGTAAAACATCTTTACGGAGACGTTCACGCTGAAAGAAAACAGCTCGGAGGATGAGTCACCGCTCGCCTCTCATTGTGCTGCTCTCTCGTGGCTGCTGGGTTTTCAGTTTCCTTCTTAAAGGGGCGACTTATTCCTCTCCGGTCCCAGCTGCGCTGCGCTTTATGTTTGACATCCTTACGCATCTTAAATGTCGCTTTTACTGTCAGTCGAGTGTCGGTAATTATGCCGCATGTTCGATATTACAAAGTGAAGGGGGAGGCCATGTGGAGAAAGTTTTTATCAGTGTGTGATAAATGATGATGAACACGATTATCGCGCCCGACAGAATTCGATATGTGTAGAAAAAAGAACTCACCAACACCGGGGAATAACCTTAAAGAGAAAACATGTTTGTGGCTAAAGGTCGGCCGCTGACATCGGCCCAAAAGTGGCCTGATTCAACAAAGCGGGGGAGGTGGGCGGACAGCGTCTCCTCACAAGGGCCCCGACAACATCCTGATGCTACGACCGACGTGTTGGGACACCCCCTCCCCTGCCTCGTAACCTTTTATTATCGTGAAAGACTGCAGGTAAATTATTGCTGTTTATTCCACTGTCCCGCTCATTGATTTGCAGCGTTGTCCACAAGCGTCAAATACAACCAGATCACCGTCGTCGCGACCTCTCAAAGAACTTCTGCTGACATTTTCTCACTGAGAGCAAGAAACGACAGCGGCCGCAAACTGCTGTTCACACACTCTCTGTTGGTTTTTCTACATTACATGAACGGCTTATCACCGTTTGTCCCTTTACGCTCATGAGAGCTGACACACACTGAGCTGCACAGACATGAAACAGTCGTCTGTGAAGTTTCTTTCTTTTCTAAATCACTTTTTTCCACTTTGTTTTAATTCTGCTCTCCGACAGCCGGCACCATCTCGGGCGAAGAGATGCCCATCATAGCGAGGACCAACATCAAGGAGCATCGAGACTCTCTCTCCTGCGAGAAGTTCAACTTCAGGCTTCACCACAACATCACCTTCTACGTCTACGTGTCCAACTTCACCTGGCCGATCAAGATCCAGGTAAGAGGCTCAGGGTGGATAAGCGCTGATCTGTGAACGGGAGAAATGACCTTTAACGAGTCTGAACCTGAGAAAGAGGAAAGGTTTTGTTGTGTTGCGTTTTCAGTCTTTCACAACAACGTTTGACCTGTCTGAGAGACAGGTTGACGGTTTGGATGAAGAGTCACTTCAGGAAGGTCGACTGGAGAAAAACAGTCTAAATAAGTCGACACTGTGTCCGGGTTTTCACAGCTGTGTTTGCAGATGAACCGGTGTCGGCTGAAGGCAGGAGGCGACGAGTTTAGTCTCTTGATAGTTCGAGTTTTATCATTAAAGAAGCTCATGAAGTCGTTTATTAGCGAGAGCTGGAGGGTTACATGGATCGATAGAGCTTTGACTCTGTCTGCCCGAGCTGAGAGGAAACCTGTGGTCGTCCTTCATTTCTTCTGTTACTTAAAAAGGGGCGTTAGAGTCGAGTCAACAAGATGATCAGGTTGGGAGGGGCTAAAGTATCACAGGAGTAACGAGCATTCAGAACCTCATTAACTACATCAGAACAATGTTGGGGGTGTGGTTAAAACCGAGTCTAATAATGTGATAAATGCAGATTGTCAGCGTCCACATGAATATTAAAATCAAATCTCTATAATTCCTTCATCTGTACGAACGACTCGACTTGACGAAAGCTCCGAGAATTCAGATAGAAATAAAGTTTCCCAGGGTCAGTAAAGTTTATTATCTTCACTGTGACATTTGTTTTACTCCCAAAATCACCTTGTTGTACGGCGCACAGGTTAAAAACTGCTTTTTATCGCGTGAACAAGATGAACCGTTTGTCTTTTTATTGATGCAAGTTTCAAGGTTCGAAGAGATTCTGGTGTTAAAATGATGGAAGTTTAATACAAGCGTCTCATTAAAAGTCTGAAATGTTGTAGAAACCAACAAAGGGGAGTTACAGCCGCGAGGTTGAATCTCCTGCAGGAGTAAAGTCGGTGAAGGCGTTTGGAGGAACATACGGTTCTGCATCATCATCATCATCATCATCATCATCATCATCGCCGTCGTCTCCGGTTTGTCTCTGTGCAAAACATATCGCCCTGACAAGACGTTGAGCATAAACTATTCTGAAAAATGTTTGGCAAATCTGCTATCACATTTAATGATCTGTGAGTTTTCCAATGTCTCTCCATCAATTATGCAGCACCGGATTAAATCTCCAGGCGGCAGCCACACACACTAAATATTCAAGCTGCAGCCTTATGATCCGTTAAATTGAAGTAGACTTTTAGCGGTGATATTTTAAGATGACTGTTGTGCAGGGAGAGGGGGGGGGGGTGTGCGCTGATGGATGGAGTCAAGAAGTGACATAATGGAGGGATTAGGGGAGAGTGAAGACGGGCTGGCTGGTTAACCGATGTTGGGACTGCCGTAGAAGTCAAAACGGCCGGTGTTGAGAAAATGGAGACTGACTGATTGGCAGATTGGAGGGAGAAAGGCGGCAGGTTCTGGAGACAGATAAAGACGTAAAGCAGAGGACGGATGCGAGTGATAAATGGAGGGATGGACAGAAGGATGATGAGTGGGAAGGACGACAGTAGCTGCTGCGTTACAAAGCGTTCAGGTAAAAGTTAAAGGAAAGTTAAAAAATAATCTGAAATCATCCTTCACTGTGAAGTTTGGTGAAAACTGAGAACATTTACTTCACCAAGGAAATGTTGGGCGCTTTTATTTTTCTTATTTGGAATCTATTTGGAAACATAATTTAGCGAGTGTCCTGCACCTCGTTTTACGGGTCATTTGTCCATCGATCGCCGCCCTCATAAGCATTTCCCATTAATGCTGCATTATCAGAGCGCCGTATATATATATATATCTGCTGGTTGAAAGGTGATCTGATAATTACCACGATGAGGCCGTGTCAGACGTGCCCGTGCGTAACATGAGAAGCACTCGCCGGTGTCCGGTCCTGTGACCTTGGTGATTTCCGACGCCAGAACGCGGGTCGAGGATGAGAAATTGTCCTGAGGATTGGTAATGACCCGGCCTGATGCATTTTGATCTAATAGACCTGTGAACACACACACACACACACACACACACACACACACACACACACACACACACACGTAGAGAGGAAGAGACCGAGCGTCTCCTCAGATTGTCAGGAAATGTGGGTTGGTTGGTTTTTGATTTCAGTGATTTTGATGGCTCCCTGACATTTCCCCGATCAATTAAAAACAAAACAAAATGGCTGACAGTTCTGTGAAATCTGCTGTAAATATTCATGGTCCTTTGCTCGACCCCTGACGATTCCCTCAAGTGTCTCCATAAACCTGTAACTGAGCTTTCCTCAGGATAAAACGTCTCCTGTGCAGCTCCTCTGTTTTTCACAGCAGTGACAAACATTCACTGATCACATTCACACCTCCGACGGGATAAACCTCCATTTATTTTAATGACCCTGTGACCTTTCCTCCTTCCCTTTAAGACGAAATGTTTCCCTTCTCCTCACAAGGTCGATGACTGACTTCACGACAGAGTTGAAACGTGTTGTAAATGACAAACCGTGAAGTGGCGACTTGAGCGTATCAGCGGTTTCCGTGTGAAACACTTTCACCTGATGCTGCTGCTGCTGCTGGACGCTGAACATCAGAGATCATCTTCTCTCTCACATGATCTCACTGATCTGACCCTTTAGCCACGGATGTGTGAAAGTCTGGCAGCCTGTGTTAGCACTAGATTTCAAGTTATTGTTCATGGCAGTGAAGCGTGAACACACACACACACACACACACACACACACACACACACGGATACACAGAGTGGTTGTCGAGTGCTCCTGTAATACACAGGGACCCCTTTGCTCTACATTACACTGTGCGATATGATTCATGGAGCCATTATCTTATTATTTATTTTTTGGATATTTACTTCCTGTGTTTTATTATAACAAGTGTGATGTGTTTTTATATTTGCTGAGGTGAAGATCCAGTAGAAACCAGCTGCTGTTTTAAAATATTAACATGTCCAACTAAACGCCTGTGAGTAACTGTAGGACATTTATTTATTTGTGGTTTATGTCTTAAACAAACACTTTGGTTTCATCTATTTTTTTATCACTTTAAATGGTTTTGTACAGTTTCCTCTCAAGCAACAAGGTGGAAGTTGCTTTACATTCGCGTCATAACACGTTTTAAATGTCACTTAATATTCATTTCCGGCACAAGAAAGACGGACAAAGATGAATATAGTCAACCGAACCCAACCTGACACCCTGTGTGCAGACAGGCCGTCGTGTCCTAACCTGCAGTATGTCCTCACTCAGGTAGAAACTCGTGAACAACCACACATACAGTATATGCACACACACATCCTAGCGTGACCTGTGAGTCCCCCCCCCCCGGCGGCGTGCTGACGTCAGCCCCGGGGGACCGGAGGGCTGGTTGTAAGGCGGAGCGAGGTGTTGGGATCGGTCGCTCTGCTGGAACAGATTTTGATCGGTTCTGTCACGCTGACCTTGCACCTTCGTCCTCGCTCTTCCTCGTGACACGACGCTAACAGGAACCTGGTTTAAATGTCTGTGTGTGTGTGTGTGTGGGTGTGTGTGTGTGTGTGTGTGTGCGTGAGTTACAGCATCACATCACAGAAGTTATTCAGGATCCTGTCAGCTCTTTATTTCAGAAATGATGGGCTATAAAAACAAATCTATGTCCCTGTTTCAGAATAAAAGCTCCTTCATACTCCCACTTAAATTAAACAGGAAATAGTAAAGATCAATGGCACATAAATGCCTCATTGGAAAGTTGTATTTGTTTGTAGTTTCGCCGTTTACGCTCAGAAGAAGTTTCCCTTATGAAAGTCTATAAATTCAATAGGAATCATTATGGAATAAAAAACAGTTAGAATATCAAAAATAAGTGCGAGAAACAAATATAGATCATCGCTGTAATTTGTTCCATTTGACATCATTTTTTCCACAAACCAGGACTGGCCCGGATTCGTTTCTAATCAAGAAGTCATGTTTTATTGATTGAGCCCCACAAACATTATGGGAACATGACCCAGTTTCTCTCTTCATCTTTGTTTTTGAAAGAGCTAACTGTTAATTTAGCCAGAAGTTGTATAACTCCAGACCGTAACCGTTTCTGATTTGAACGTCCTTGTTTATAATTTAGCAGAGAATTTTATCTAAACCAGAAAGAACAGTAATAACTTGAGAATCGACGGCCCCCTTTGTTTGCGCTCTTAATGTTTCGGAGACACTTGATTAAAATTGACAGCAGGGAACAAAACAGACTTTTCTGTACGAGGAACTACTTTTCTTTTCTTTTCACCCGCAGCTCCTCGTTTGTAGTTTTCTTTTGCCGATCGACACGCAGTCGTTCTCGAGTCCGTTTCCGTCTGTCCTCATCTCATCTCCCTCTCCACGCCCCTCCATGCATCACAGCGTGCAGGCCAGCTGATTAAAAGCCCCCTGTCAGAGGTGAGCAGCCATTTTGTTGCAGACGAACTCGGGGCCCCCGACGTGATTGGTCGGTTGATTTGATTTGCCGCTCAGCGCTCAGTCACTTATTTATCCTCTGCGCCTGCCATCATTAAATAGGATGCCTCTCCTAATCAGATATCTGGCACACACACACACACACACACACACACACACACACACACAAACACCCTCTCTGATCACATCAGTGACAAAGTGTGCTTTATTGGATTAAACCAGCAGTTGAAATGGTTAACACACACACACACACACACACACACACACACACACACACACACACACACACACACACACACACACACACAGAGGAAGGAGGAGGAGGGTCTATCTCATGCATCTCATTGAGGCGGTGTCATGTTCCATAGGCTGAAAGAGAAGAAGAGAGGCTGAGTGCTGCTCGTTTGACCGGACAGACAGACAGGAAGTCATCAGGCAAAATTAGGCTGGTGATGTGGGAATAAGTGCAGGGTGTGTGTGTGTGTGTCCGAGCCGGGTCACACCAACATCTATATAACTG